AAGACTTGTTGATGAACAGGTGCTTGCTTCCTGACATTGTTTGATATATGTTTTACTTATTGTTCTCATATTTGAAGTTTGAACAGATTGTAAAATAAATTCTGATAAAAAAAAAACAGTTATGGAAAATATTATATTTAATTTATTTGTATCACCTGTCTGAAATTGTGATAATATGCAGTTTAGCAGCACTGAGATATAGATTATTTTTAGCAGTTCTTCTTGTTTACATTTAAATATGTCAAAGCAAAATTTAAAAACCATTCTACCATTCAACAAGTGCACCGACTTTCAGACAGAGTAAGACAGAGCCTGGAGAAAAAAGAATATTGCTCTGCAGCGTTTCTTGATGTAAGCCAAGCCTTTGATAAAGTGTGGCATCCTGGACTTTTATTCAAAATTAAACGTTCTCTCCCTCATAACTATTTTCTATTGTTTAAATATTACCTGGAAAACGGACATTTTAGAATAAAACACCAAGGAATTTACACCAAGCTACACAAAATAGAGTCAGGTGTACCGCAGGGCAGCGTCCTGGGACCAATTCTCTATCTCATATATACGTCAGACATACCTGAAAATCCAAATTTATTTTTATCTACATTTGCAGACGACACAGCACTCCTAACATCCCATGAAGACCCATTTTTAGCTTCTCAAACACTACAAATTGGCCTAAACAGTCTTTCCACGTGGCTACAAAAATGGAGAATCAAAGTGAACGAAAGCAAGTCTGCACACATAACATTCACCACCAGAACAGCTAACTGTCCCCCAGTCCACTTAAACAACGTACTTCTGCCTCACCACAATGAAGTAAAATATTTGGGCATCCACCTCGACAGAAAACTTACCTGGCGAAGCCATATTTGGAACAAACGACAACATCTAAATTCAAAGTTTCGACAAATGGCCTGGCTCATGAATAAAAATTCAAAACTGTCAATAGAAAATAAATTATTGCTTTACAAGGTTGTCCTTAAACCAATTTGGACATATGGCATTTCTTTGTGGGGAACAGCTTCAAAATCAAACTTGGATATATTACAAAGATTTCAGTCAAAATTACTAAGAACCATCCTGAAAGCCCCTTGGTATGTATCCAACGTCACCATTCACAATGATTGCAAAATTCCATTTGTTACTGAAGAAGTTACGAGCTGCAGTAAAAAATACATCTCAAAGCTTGAGTATCATCCGAACCATTTGGCCCTCAACTCTCTACCTCCTAGACAACAGTCAACATGTCTACAGACTAAAAAGAGAAAATGTTTTAGACCTTCCGACTCGATTTGTACAGCAGCTCTGAAATTTATTTTCTTTGTTTTTTTTTGTTAGTGCTAAAGCTGTATAGCTGCTAACTCATGCATTCCAATTTTTATTTTATTGTTAAAAATGCCATCATATTTACTTATTGTTTAATGCAAAACAGATTGTAAATAAAACTATGTTAAAGAAAAATAAAAACATTTAAACAAACTTTGTTAGTGTTCTCATCGCAGCCATGGAGACCAATCAATATTTACTTTTAAAATGTTCACCTCAGAACTTTTAAAGCCAAAGGGGTAAAGCCTACGGTCACTATCGAAATGTGAATAGTCCTATAATGGTCCTTGGTATGGTAGCTATATTTTTGTAAAATTTAAGCCCAGTTGGTTCAGTAGTTTTTGCACCTATGTGTATTAGTAATACACATACAGACAGATACCATTAGATTTTTATATAATAGTATAGATATAATATATAAATATACATATAAAATACATAATTATGTATGCATATACAGGGTGAGTCAGTGAAACGGGCCATTTTTCGGTAAGTATTAAAAATAGGTCAAACATCATAACATCGATGTATTCATTAAAAAACATAGTAAATGAGTAGAAGTTTGTGTTGAACCAACAAAACAAGCATCAAGTCTTGAAAATAATATCAGAGTCAACTCCTTAAACTTTGACCAGGCAATATCCCCATTTCATGTCAAGGGAAGAAACGGCACACCAAACCGTAGCTTTAATAGGGTGAACTGGCCATTCGTGAAGTGCTTGTGGACCGACCAATATCAAAAATTTGCTTATTGACACATCCCGTTAAGTGGAAGTGAGCCTCATCGCTCATCCATAGGTTGTGAATTTGCTCTGGGTCATCTTCCATTAGCTGAAGCATATGCTCAAAAAAGTAATGAGATTGAAAATCACCCATATTCTAGGCTTGCACAACCTGAATTTTGTTCTTTTTTCTGTTATGTAAAATTCATAGACAGTCCTACGAACCACACATTCATCGAAATGGTCTAGGCCAGTAATCGGCATTTTCTTCCTTTTTGTTTTGTGAGGTGTTAAAAAAGATTTATTATCATCCTCACTCACCTTTAAAGCGTTTAGTTCGCTGTTTATCCGGGTAACAGAGCGTTGAGATACACCGGTTGCTGCTGCGGTCCGCTCCCTCGCCTTCTGTAGTGGTATTGTAATGCCGCTCTTGCACTCCTCTTTCATAAATGTATAAACATTTGCCACGATTTCCCTACTCTGACTATTTAAAACCTTACCACCAATCCCTACTTTCGATTTAAATTCTGCCATGACAAAAAAACTCACACACGTTTCGTTATGAAAACAGTCCACTTCACGATCCACTGTGACACTGCACAAGCAAAACTCACTACTGAGTAGACACAGTGCTTAGGAACGTGCAAGATTTGTCATAACAGCGCCCTCTCTATTAGTCATAGTTTGTTTAGGACGTCAACCCCGTGAGTCAGCCGAGATGTTCGCAGAGTTGCCCGGTCGGAACGCGGGATCTCACGTCTGACAGTCCGATGTTCTCAGAACGGTCTTAAGCTAGTTTCCACCCTCCCCCCGCCTATGGTGCCGCGCCAGGCCCACAGGCCACCATGAGCCAGCTTAGCTGACGCTAGCTGTATGCATATACAGGGTGAGTCAGTGAAACGGGCCATTTTTCGGTAAGTATTAAAAATAGGTCAAACATCATAACATCGATGTATTCATTAAAAAACATAGTAAATGAGTAGAAGTTTGTGTTGAACCAACAAAACAAGCATCAAGTCTTGAAAATAATATCAGAGTCAACTCCTTAAACTTTGACCAGGCAATATCCCCATTTCATGTCAAGGGAAGAAACGGCACACCAAACCGTAGCTTTAATAGGGTGAACTGGCCATTCGTGAAGTGCTTGTGGACCGACCAATATCAAAAATTTGCTTATTGACACATCCCGTTAAGTGGAAGTGAGCCTCATCGCTCATCCATAGGTTGTGAATTTGCTCTGGGTCATCTTCCATTAGCTGAAGCATATGCTCAAAAAAGTAATGTGAGATTGAAAATCACCCATATTCTAGGCTTGCACAACCTGAATTTTGTACGGATGCATGTTAAGATCTTAATGCAAAATTTGCCTCACTGTTGGCGCAGAAAGTCCAATTGCTTTTCTAAGCTGTCGGTCAGATCCACAGGGACTTCTGGCAATCGTTTAACTGATTCAAATGTTTCGGGTGTCCGAACAGTTCTGGTACTCCCACCTCTTCTTTTTGTGATTTGTCCCGTTTCTTCCAAGTTTCAGCCCTGAGTTGCATGTCTCGATGGAACTTGAGGGGGCAGACCAAAATGAATGCGCAAGGCCCGATGTGGTGCCGGATCAAATGCCTTGACGGCAAAACCCCGCTGTGGTCCGGTCCAACCCTAAAGCTGTATGGCAACTAAACTTCCAGAGGTTGGGAACGCAGGATAACTTACTCGGCCCCTTTCCTTCTTCCCCTCTACTCACTAACGTTATAAGAAAATAGCCCGTTTCACTGACTCACCCTGTATATTTATTTTTTTTTTTCAGCTATAAAATACTAGGTATAAAACATCATAAAAAGTAGTCGAAAATATATTTTTTTCTATTGAACGTTTCAGTGATACTGGTATTTTTGGAAAATAAATAAGAAGATGCAAGTGGGTTAAGTTCAGCTATTGTTTCTGGGTTAAGCAAAATTTAAATATTGTTTGTTAATAAACCCACCCACAGCTAAAACCAATCCACCTCAATCCCAAATTGCTCACTGAGCCACCTATTTAATTTACTTTCACATATTTTTTCAGATTTTGTTTTTTTTAGCGAATTTCCCTATAATAGGGAAGTAGCTATTACCCGTAGGTGGCACGGTAAGACCTAGGCCCGGGACCAATTTACTTTTTCATTTTCATGTCCCCAGAGGCCAAAAACACCATTTGTTCAAATTTAAATGCGATAACTTGAGTAATTTTTGTCAGATTTTGATGAAATTTGGTTTAAATAAAAGGTGTAAGGCGGGATAAACTTAAATGAGTTCGCGAACGAGCATGATCGGACCATGGGAACGGGGTTTTACGGGGGGTTTTATGGGGTAAAATTTTGTTTTTCTCATTTTTGCCCCTCAAAACTCAAAATTTTCTAATTTCTCTCTAGACATTTTTAAAGAGCTTAAAACAAATAATTTAGTATATCAAAGTGTTTTTGTACGGTTATTGGTAACGGAGAAAATTTAAAAAATTTAAAATTCCCATGTTATTCTTATGGAAGATATTGTAAAATGTTGTGTTTTGCTTGTTTATGGATATATTTTGAACAAACTTGGCAAATTTATGTATTTTATACTAAGCTATTAATATTTAAAAAAAAAAAATGTATTTTATTAGTTTCCTTGTAGCAGCAAACCTAGGTACTCATTAAACCTAATGTTATTGAAATAGATTTAATTGCAAACCAATTCAGACAAATGGAAATTCGCTTAGTCGGCATGTTTGCTGCGGCAGGGGTATTTATTATTAAAATTAAATTTAGTATGTGTCTTAATTAAAAAAAAAAATGTCATTGGGCTCTGGCTTTAAAAATATGGCGGGTATTTTAATTTTTTTTATTGACATTAAAGAATATTTTCAGCTAAATTGATAAAAAAACATAAACTATAGACATGGAATAGTATAATAAATCAATCTAGGCAATAAAAAGGAGACAACAATAATTAAAGTTTTAATAGAAAATGCAAATACAAGTGAAGTATAAACTGTAGTCTAAACTAGATGAACTTTCCAAAATACTTATAGTCGTTTCTCCTGCACCATAACTTTGCATGTCCAAGATTGTTTTTTATGATATATTCCATTGTGTACTCGTTAAGGTTCCTAGCTTCATCTAACTTCTCTTTAGCTTCCATTTCCTCCAACATTTCATGGCTAACAGCCATTGCTTTGAATGGCAGAATGTGAGCCACCTGATGAAGATATTTTTGTACCTGCAACATTAAAATAGTAGTAAGTATAGATAGTTTTCTACTAACAAAACTGGCTAATCAAACGCTAAAATTAAAAAAAAAAACTAGTAAAGAATCATCTGCTGCAAAAGAGTTATTATTCATTTGAAGAGTTTTTTCAATGTAAAAAAAGACTAAAAAAGGTTGAGGTGTTCTGCTGGAAAAAGTAAACGTAATAAAAGTGTAAACAATTTATACTTTTCTGCAAAGTGAAATAAAAATGTAAAAAAATTAGTTGTATAGTCTGACATTGACATTTGACACTATTCATGTATGTACATACACAGTGGCGGTTGGCGGTTCTAGGACCTTGTCAAGGAGGGGGGCTTGGCCCTCCCAATAAAGCAGGGGGTTTGGGGGGGGGTCCTTCCCCAAGAAAATTGGTGACTTTCTAAAGCAATTTTTAACACCAAAAACTGTGCCCAATTGTCCATAAACTGCCATTTCACCTGTTGTTTGTCATGAGCAAATAGACATGAAAAAAATTAAACTCTGACGATTGCATTCATGAATTTTAAGAAATTTTTTAGACTATGGCCATATCCTCCTAAAAGCCGTTTGGAGACTTTCTCAAGCCATTTTTAACATCTAGAACTGTGTGCAAAATCTCCCATTTCCCCATTTATTTTTCATGAATAAGTAAACATTTTCAAACTAACTATGACGAGCTGTTGGCCCGTCCTACCGGGGAATTGAGTACAGTAGTTTAAAACTGTATTATACAGTGCGTAGTTATGTCAATATGTCTATTCTTTCAAGCATAGTTTAAGCAGTTCAAAATTTATTGTAAAGAAAAAGCTGTTAAGATGAATTAAAACATGTGATCATTGTTATTTCCCAACCTTTCCTTAAAAAGTCTGGTAGTAAAATAATTTTCATAAGCTTTCCTTTAAAGACTTGTGAGCTTCGATTCGTATACAGCAATTGTTATATAATCAAATTACTTATTTCCGATAATCAATGACAAATCCTATACTCTTATATGAGCAATGTATGTATGTATGTATGTATGTATGCTTGCACTAAGATCTCGAAAACGGCTCCGACGATTTTCTTCAAATGTTGTAAATAGTTTATTCCTGACCTAAAAACGAGCTTACTGCCAGCAGTTAGATTTGCCAACAAAAATCTAATTACGTAGAAAAATGAAACTGAAAGTCAAATTTTTTTAACATTAGTCTTATGGGTTCAAGGGCGGTCCCAGGGGGGGGGGGGTCATGACCCCCCCAAAATATTTTTTATATACATAAACTATTATACCAGGGGAACTTTAATAATTTTTATTGCAAATCTTTCTGCCAAATTGGAATTCATTGTAGTCTTTACACTTGTGGCGAATGAAAGGACTAATTACAAACTCTAACCTTAAACTCATCGTTCGAGTCTGACTGTTTTTTTGTACGTTATGAAAAGTAGGGAAGATCGGCAGACGCTTTCAGCCATATACAGCAACGGCAGTGCCCACTGCCCGATGCTGACATTCGACGTTCGGCCGCATTCTTCTTCTTATTTAATTTTTCGGGATTTAATGTTGTCATTCATTTTAACCAAGATGATTGAAAACTTGAATTGGGTTTGGGTATTGGATAAAGAAAAGAAGTTGTATCAATAGTCAAAGCTTGAAAGGTAGTTGAATATTAATTTATCTGAGTTGAGCGTTAGGAATTTGTAATTACAGTAATGTAATTCAATGATTACCGTAGCAAATTTCAAAACTTTCAATATTAAATAGTATTCATATTTAGAGCACCTGATATCATATTTAAGAATACCACAACCCAATTGGCATGTTGCTAGCCATAAAACAACAACAAAACGGTAGTGTCTCAGACTTAGATGTGGAAGGGACATATTTAATTCCCAGCACAACCACAAAATCGTTGCACAAAAACTTTATTCTCACGTTGACCCCTTGTAAAATGCCACTGGCACTGGCGTAGAAAAAATGAGAACACTGAGAACCAATTCTCCAGGAGGTACCAGTGACGGGACGCCGACGGCAACGTTAGTTGGGTAGTGTACTTTGTGTAGGTTAACTGTTGCTTACTAGGCAGGTATAATGCAGTAGTTTTGGGTCCAAGTTCTTAAACACTTCTTAGATAAAATAAGTTCTCTGGTTCGAAATCTTGGTCTGATTTTGGACATTTTCCGTTTAGCATGCACATTGGCACCAGTTGAAAGCATGGTGGAAGGAAAATAAATCCACCATGAGTTGAAGGGTGTTTTCGTAAATCAATAATGCTTGAATGTGTTGTAATGTTGCGGTATTCCTTTGATATTAAAACCCCAAGTCTCAATAATGCAAAAACATGACATTATACAAGTTTATTTTTAGACATTTCTTTGACCTTTAAATAAACTGGGAAGCTTGAACACATTAAACTAGGCCCTCAAAATAGCTTCAAAACCACTCGTTTTAGCACGTTATTTCCAAATTTTTCCCCGGACCCCCACCCTTTGCTGGGGGGTATTCCATACCCCCCAGTGACCCCCCCAAAATATATGTCTAGGACCGCCCTTGTAATGGGTTGCTAAGTAACCATCTTGGCTGAATTAAATAACAAGGGAAAAGTAAATAAAAGACTTGTAAGTTAGTTGTCTATCCACAATATACTACCAAATTACAAATATAGTACAAAAGGAAAAACATCAGTTGTTACTATTGAGCAAAGATTATACTGAAGATTACTCGATACATTGTAGTCAAGGGTAGCAGTGTGGAGTGTGGGATCTGTTTATGATGATTAGATTACGGTATCTGCAATCCTTAAATGCTATGGGAAGGGAAGGAAACAGGTCCGCGACGTAGGAAGTGATGAAGGAAGTAGTTAAGGCGAGCAGTCCGGAGTGTGGGAGCTGTTTATGACGATTAGATTAAGGTATCTGCAATCCCAAAATGCTATGGGAAGGGAGGAAAACAGGTCCGCGACGTAGGAAGTGATGAAGGAAGTAGTAAAGGCGTGCAGTCCGGAGTGTGGGAACTATTTATGACGATTAGATTAAGGTATCTGCAAACCTAAAATGCTATGGGAAGGGAGGAAAACAGGTCCGAGACATAGGAAGTGGTGAAGGAAGTAGTAAAGGAAAGCAGTGTGGATAGTTGGAACTGGAAACTGTTTGTAGCAGTTAGATTAATGTATCTGCAATACTGAAATGCTATGAGAAGGGAAGGAAACGTTCCACGACATAGGAAATGGTGAAAGAAGTAGTAAAGGCTAGCATTGCGGAGTCTGGGGAACGTTTGTGGCAATTATATTAATTTATCTAAAATACTAAAATGCTACATAAAGAGATGAAAACAGGTCCACGACGTAGGAAGTCGCGTAGGAAGTAGTAAAGTTTAGCATCGCAGAGTGTGGCAACCGTGTGTGGCAGATAGATTAATGTATCTTCCAGCCTAAAATGCTATGAGAAGGGAAGGAAACAGGTCCATGACGTAGGAAATGGTGAAAGAAGTAGTAAGGCCACCAGTGCAGATTGTGGGAACTGTCTGTGGCAATTATGTATCTGCAATTCTAAAATGGTATAGGGAAGGAGGGCAAACAGATCAACGACGTAGGGTGGAAGTGGTGAAGGAAGTAGTAAAGGCAAGCATTGTGGAGTTTGGGAATGGATTAATCTATCTGCAATACTAAACTGCTTTCAGAGTAAACTTATGATTTTCCCCAAGCAAAGCTCATATATCCATTAACAAGGAAATTAAAACAGTAAAGTATTTATGATACTGTTTAGCATAATTGAGGCTAAACACAAGTATAAGGTTTTGCGGGCCTACTGCATGGACAAAGTTACAAATAAATTAGATGCAGTACACTACAAACTTACAATATAATAACAAAGGGAAAAATTTGTTTAAAACTGTAAAAAATACAAAACAATAATATATTTTCCATTCACTGTACTTTATTTACTTTGTAACAATGTTTATTTTAATGAAACATAAGTCCAACTCTTAAGACTAAAATAAACAAGTAAAAAAAAAAAAAAACAAAAAAAAACTTCATATTTACTGATTGGCCTTCTCTTGTAAAATAGGTATATTGTAAATATAGCAATGTTTTCAGTCAGACATTGTTTTTATTAGGTTAAAACATTTAAGTCCACGACTTTAAACTTGTAACCATTTTTATACCTATTCTTATTGATTTTTTCAGCCTTACTTCAGCACTGACTTCCCCTACCTTGTTTGATATTGAAATGTTTTGTAGCCAACTGTTTTTAGTGAGGGTTACTGTTGCCACTGTGGGCCTAAGGTATAAAAAATTATATAAAATTCCTGGTGATTGATGCAAATGGAAAATTCTCATATAATTTGAATATGCAACTATTGCTGTTTGAATGAGCTAGCATAAAGGTCAAAAAATCGAAACATATTCCGGATTGAAAACTAATAATTTCAAATTTCATACAGAACTTAGCATGTTTTATACCTCTGCAAACTCGCATCTTCCGCCCAACTCCACAATGACTCTCCTGGCTTTAACTGGTGTCACGTAATGGTCTATAGGTCCCTTTCCACCACCCATCCTCATACCTTGACCCTGAAACATTTACAAAAAATATTGGTTAAATCTATGACTCACAATGATTCATCTAGATTTTCAGTCATCTTTGATGTTGTCCTCCAAGATTGAATTTTGTTAGTGATTTCCAAAAGGTTAACAACAAATCAACCAATAAAACTTCTCCTCAATACATTGCAAAATTAATGTTCTAAAAAAATATCCAATACAGTAGAACTCCACTTCAGTTAGTCTGACTCCTCCTTTAATCCGACCGTGCCATCGCCTATCATTTGCCAAGCTTGTATGATAACCACTCTGTCTTCCGCGATTGTGTTAACATCTTGCGAGATTATAGCAAAATACCAAACGTCTTCCGCGGTCATAGGGACATTATCATCATCTTCTGCGATCGCAACCTATCAATAAATGCCAGTTAAGCAATTAATTTGCCCAATTAATTAATGTGCTCCTTGTCTAACCTTTTCACAGTTCTAACCATGGTCCAGGTCTTGTAGATGACGGATTAGCGGGGTTGTACTGTAGTTTAAAATATCATAAAAGGTATACATTATCTCAATAACCCCTCCACAGCAAACCAGCAGACTAAGCGAATTTCCATTTGCCTGATTGGATTTACACTAAAATGTCTCCTTAAAAATATCACATTTATTCCCTATTTAAATAGCATTAGTTTAACGAGTACTTATGTTTGCTGCAACAGGGAGAGTACAAAGTTTTTTTTGTAAAATGTTAATAGTTTAGTATGAAATGAATGCATTCAAATTTGATCAAAATATGATCATAAACAAGCAAACTACAACAATTTATTTATTCTCCATAAGAATAACAGGAGAATTTTAAATTTACAGTTTTTTTTTTAAATTTCTCCGTAACCATTAGGCACATAATAACGCTTCAATATACTAAATAATTTGTTTTTTTAAGCTCTACAAAATGGTTTAGAAAGAAGTTGCTAAATTTAAGTTTTTAGGGTCAAACATGGGAAAAACCAATTTTTACCCCATAAAACCCCCCATAGACCCCTGTTCCCATAGTCCGATCATGCTGGTTCGGGAACTCGTTCGAATAAACATAGGTTTACACGTTTGTACCAAATTTAATCAAAATTGGATGATTTTTGCTTGAGTTATCGCGCTAATGGACACATATATAAATATAAATAAATATATACGAGCTGTTGGCCCGTCCTACGTACGGGAATCGAGTAGTCAATTAAAACTGAATAGTTCAGAACATCTAGTTTACTTGCACAGTGAAAAATTCTGGCAGTTTTAATGGTGGCCAACTGCCCCCAAAACAACCTAATTAACAATTAATTGTTATTTTTTAGTTGTTGACCTTATTAACAAATTCAAGTGACTACCTATATCTTCCATCCGATTATAGACGTAAAATATAGCGATGTGAATTTTAAATTCGATAATTTTACCATAAAATAGCAGTTGCGTCGATCTGAAAAGACTTGAAGTGAGATTGGAGACCAATTCACACACACTGGTATTGAGTAGAGTTGCTACAATTGCATATACCACTTATATATGTACTTACCGCACCTTTACCTCCGTGACCACTGACTGACACTTTATGAGGATTCTGGCCAGAGACCTACTACACCAATTAATTGACGCTTTCATTACTAACCAAAATTATAGTATGACTCACATATATTCGAACATACAGAAAAAGAAGTATCAACACGTAAACCACTTATATCTTAAACGATTAAGCCATAAATTTCTGAAAAAAGATTTCCCAAATATGAGATGAAATTTCCATGGCATAAACTAAATAACTTACTTACACAGTTTGCATTTACGACAAAACTTGATTAAACTGTTTGAGATGTATAGATCAAAATAACACATTTCCTGATAAAGCAGATCCTTCACGGTAGAAAAAAACTAAATTTTAAAGTGAAATAGTATGCAAGCCAATACCGAAGAACAATATTTTTGTATACAAACAACTTGTAACATAAACATTTCAATTATAGTTTATAACCAGCTGTTGGTTTAACCAGCACTGAAAATACTTTGAATTGCTAGCGTCGGCTGCTAGACTTTTTAAAAATTGAAACTTAATTTATAAAAAACTGAAACCCTAAACTAAAATTATGGCTTCGACATTCCCTAGTTCTCAAAATTATCTTTCTTTCAACACAAAAATCATGAAAATCGGTCAAGTGGTTGATTCAGAATCGTGAAATAAAAAAACCCTGTTTCGTTTTAATATTATAGATTTATGTATATGACTGTAGCAATTATTATACAGGTCAAACATCTCGAAGTTTTAAAACAAGATTCAAAGAACATCTACAAGCATTGAAATCAAAAAGCTAACATCAATGAAGTCGAACTTCGCCGACCATATAATGAACTCAGACCACATTTATAAAAAGAAAATATAACAATTTTAGAATATGAAAAAGAACTTGAGAAACTTAATGTAAAAGAAAAGCTAAATATTTATCTACACAATAAAAAGGACCCCAAGAACATACTTAACACAATGATTCCAAAATTAAACCAACCTATCTATGATAAAATTGAAAAACTAAGGAAAGAAAGAAAAACATTAATTTAGTATAATGAAAAAATTAATACCAAAATTTATTAAGATTTATTTAACATATTTTATTATTTTTACATATGATTATATTTTTAATTTTGTTAGTTTTAAGAATGAGGTTATGGTAAATATGACTTGATAAATGATAATGGACTTAGTCTCCGAAACATGTCGTCATTAAAAATAAAATAATTATTAAAAGGGTAACTTTGTTAACTATAATAGCTCTAAACATGCAAGAAAATAATATATATATATATGAATTTGAACGGATGGTGTTTTTGGTCTCTAGGGACCTCAAAACGAAAAAGTAAATCGGTCCCGGGTCCAGGTCTTACCACGAGTACTACGGTAATAGCATAGTTGGGAAAGTTAGTAAAAAATTCTAACTAGTTAGAAGTTATAAGTTAGTCCCGTAAAAAGTAACTGATAGAAGTTATAAGTTAGTTAGTTTAAAAAGTAACTGATAGAAGTTATTAGTTAGTTGAAAAACTAACTGATAGAAAATAACGTTAGTTTTAGTAGAAATTAGTTGTTCGTTGGGCAGTTGTTTTAAAGTATTTTTTAATGTCACATCTTGGTTACTAATATATACTATAATATGAGTAAAGATTGCGCAAGATATGATTTTAAAAATGGCTCCTACGATTTCCTCCAATTTCAATGCTATTGAAAATTTCTTGTATAATACATTTTCATTGTATGATGTCTTACTAACCAAAGGGATAATTACGACTGTTTAAAAACATTAAGTGTTTTACTGCAAAACAATTTACACTGACATTGAACTAAAAATCTAAAGGAAAGGCCAAGGAGATTTGTATTTTTCGATGATGCACCGCACGAATTGATGCGTTATTACACCATCCCGTAATTATAGTTGCAACGTTCCACGATCCCAGTGACTTAATGCAATAACGGTCGTCAGATAACAGATGTTATGTATCATGAGTTTTATATTGATTGAAGCTTATTGTGGACATTTTATAGATTGATCGTCCAAATTAAAAAGTTTTGTAGACTAAATTGAGGATAAGTGGATGTCTAACAAAAACGAATTGACTTTACTACTTAATTAATCGTAGTAAGACTGAAAATATTTGTAGGCTTATAAGCTCTATTTTTTACCTCTTGAACAAATCAAACACCTCGAGCAAGATCGGTCCCCTGGTACTTGTGTTTTAATCAAATATTGTCATATTTTACATTACTACAACATAAACAAATGACATAAAACTTGTCAGATAATGAACATTAACTAAAGACAATGTTTTGACACTTGAGATGATATATCAATCACCAAACAAACATTTCCGCTTCCCACCCAGTGCTTGGGGTGTTGATAATGGCCGTCACTACCCTTCCACAGGCCCACTGCATTCCAAAGCAACTGGACTTTGACTTTCTCTTTCCCCACCCCCCGCGTTGTTTGTCTACAAGGGCACTGACCTCTCACGGCCGCACGCAACTCTCACTGATCACGTGAAATAAATAACCAGTATTTGAGATGCTTCCGCATAATTGGGAAAGTTAGTTGAAAATTCTAACTAGTTAGAAGTTATTAGTTAGTCCGTAAAAAGTAACTGATAGAAGTTATTAGTTAGTTAATTTAAAAACAAACGAATAAAATAGAAGTTAGCCAAAAAAACTAATGAATAGTGCTATTCGATAGAATTTCTATTCGTTATTCCCAAGTATGGGTAATAGCTTATTCCCTATATGGGAAATTTGCTAAAAATATAAATGATGCATAATTTAAATAAAGTAATGATCGGAAATATAGTATAATATCACTTGTTTTACACAATGAAGGCGCTGGCTCTATTTTGCCTTCTTACTTTTTTTAAAACGTTTTTATTAGCTCACTTTCTTGTCCGGTACAAATTTTGCAATCAGTTTTATACTAAGTTCCCGATGAGCTAGAGACTTGAAACTTAAAACATATCTTACAAATGGATGACAATGCAATATTATACAATTTAATTTTCATATTTCCCTTGGGCTAGTGCCCCATGGGCTTGTTTTTATTAACTCGCTTTCTTGCAAATTTTGATACTTCCCGATGAGCTAGAGACTTGAAACTCGAAACATAGCTCACAAATGGATGGCAATGCAATATTATATAATTTAATTTTCATATTTCCCTTGGGCTACACCCCATGGGGTTGTTTTTATTAGCTCGCTAGCCGCTTTCCTACAAATTTTGATATAAATTTTAAACAAAGTTCCCAATGAGCTAGAGACTTGAAATTTGAAACACAGCTCACAAATGGATGACAATGCAATATTATATTATTTAATGTTCATATTTCCCTTGGGCAACGCCCCATGGCCTTCGAAATTTTTCATGTTTATATTTTGAAAGAATGTAAATATATCAATTAATTTAAGTCAGCTGTAAATACTTAAATTTGACAGTTAGAAGAGCAAAGGTTAAGACGTACAGG